TTCGAACTGCTAATCAGAGGAAGCATCAACACAGTGATAGAGAGACAAGGGAAGAAACAGTTTAAACGAAGAATTGGAGAGAGAAGATAGTAATGCAGAAGGAAGCAGGAAGACTAACTTCAATCATCCCCACTCACACCACAACAAGTTCTTCTCACATTGCTTACCAGATATGACTAAGATGTGGCCTGACAAGAGAGGACATTCATGGGCTGACCTTTTCAAATAGAAATTCACAGAGCTTTAAAGGCCAGGTTGAAAATCGCAGAAAAACAGCCGAAAGCAAAAGCCTTATATTTTTCATCAGGCATTTTTATGTTGATATTTAAAGGCAGGGAGTACAGTATTTTCTTATATATAACAGTGTATAAGACGCAAATCCAATTTAAATACTGAAGAAAAAATAAATCTGAATGCAAAAATAAATAAATATACTGTTTAATAAATAAACGGAGCACCTACTCAAATATGAATATCTACTAAAAAATAATGATTAAAGTGATTATATATATATATATATATATATATATATATATATATATATATATATATTTAAATTATTAACTCTGGATTTACATTGAGCTCTCAGGATTTCATCCTCCTTGGGTCTATCCATACGGATTACCAAGTTTTGATAACTATATATATATATATATATATATATATATATATATATATATATATATATATATATTATATATATATATGAATGATACAATGATATATAATTTTATATAATTTTATATATCAACAGTATTTAGAAAAATAATATGACAAATTGAAAGAAGTTTTTGTAATGCATTTCATCTGATGAAATACTAACAAATCAAAACCATCGCAAAAACTTTTTTCCACTTTGTCATTATTTATTTAAATATATATATATATATATATATATGTGTGTGTGATAAATATATATAGAGAGAGAGAGATGTATATATATATATATATATATATATATATATGTATATATATATATATATATATATATATATATATATATATATATATATATATATATTTTAATGGATACTCATATCTGAGTAGACACTCCATTTATTTATTAAACAGTATATTTATTTATTTTTGAGAAATCTTATTAAAGAAAAATTTACACTCTACAGCAGGATTCAAACCTGCATCCCTCTGGCCAAAGGGAGTTATCATTAAATCAAATACACTCTAACCAACTGCACTAAAGAGGACCAATTAGTCAAGCAATGCTTGAAATATACTTTTTAGTGACACTTCTCTCGTGAAAGATCTGGAATTTTATGAACTTGACTGAAATTGGAACTTGGCTTGCCAATTCTGCAATTCTACACTACCTGCAATTCCAAGCTTACAGGAACTGATATTCCAAAGTGGTCACCCATCTTGGTACTGCTTAGTCCCGATATTGCTGACCGTATTAGAATTGGCGTTTCAGTATGAAATGACCAGAGGCCAATGTTTTAGAATATGCTCTTTTGAAAAGTAGCTGTAGATGCTGAATTTTACTGGATTGCTGAATCATCACCCAGGGAGAATATGCCATTATGCCATCTCTATTAAAATTCTTTATGGTAAAAGTCCAAGAAATTCGTACAGCACTTTAGTTTTTCCTTGGCTTGTGTCCAGAAACCTACAATCACTTGTGTATGTACACCAGTTCCTGGCTTCAGAAGATAATGCAGGTACATAAATTTAAAAACAACTGTCAAATAATTTGGGATACAGAACAGCAAGTGATTCAGAAGAAACAAATTACAAGGGACACTTTGAAAGTAACAATTAAGGATTATTAAGCTGACCAACAATGTCAGAGTCAGATGTTAGGGATATGACTGAAAGATGTATGTGTATGTATAAAATGAAACAATATATGCATGTGTAGATCTATGCATTTGAGGGGTGCAGAAAATTTCTTAGTATCCTTAGACTTGGAAATGTCAAGATTTCTTCAAACCAATGTCATTTCTTAGCTAAACCAGATATTTTTAATCAGTCTCTCTCTCTCTCTCTCTCTTCTCTTTACCCACATTTAGGTTCTGCAGAAAAGTCTTTTACTAGACCATTCTTCTTTTCTCCATTAAATACGTCCAATGAATCACAGACTTCTAATCAACAGTGATCCTGTCACACTACGCAAATTTCTTTTGAACTGCAAAGTATGACGCAATCTCCAGGCAGTACCCTTCCCATTTTATTAACAGGAGAGGTCTAGGGTTAATCCTTGCTGCCTGAGACATTCTCAAGGGGTGATGCCAAGAGAGTGGACCTGTTTTCGTTCCATCTACCATATATAGCTTTTCTTTTTTGTACTTTAGTTCCACTTTAAACTCAGTCTTTTTTTTTATCACTTCACCCCAAGCAAGGCAGTAAAGCCACAAAGATACAAGGGGTTACTGAGTGTGAAAGAATATCAAAAGAAAAAAAAAACATTATTAATGAGAGGGGAACATAATAGAACAGCATTCAAGGAGACGGAAAATGGCAATTGACATTGCATTCAAATTTTTGAAGATTAAAGTTGACTGAAAAGCGAGAAGCCGGAAGTGAGTTCCACAGGTGAGAAGAAACTGTTAGCATAAAACTTATTGTTTCAGCCAGCATTTTCAGCTCTAAAATGATGAGACCTAGCTGCCA